TGGATATGGGAATGGAATAAACTGCAACTGAGACCAACCAGCCTGGCCCTCATTCCTTCCTTCACCTGCCCATCTCCATCAGCCTCACCAGGGTGGGGGAAGCGGCATGAGATTACCAAAGGAAAGTGACAGGAGAGAGAGAAAGCTGATGCACGAGGCCCCTTCATAATTTATTTTTAGTGAATATACAGTAAAAATGGAAAACAATAATAGGACAATATAGTTATGGGCTCCAATACTAATTGGACATACAAAAAGTACTCTGATCCTACAGGCACAATCAAGTAACTTTTGTGTGCATATTCTTTAAGGAAATTTGCTCATTCCCCTGACCAGATGAAGACAACACTAGAGGGCATGCTGGAATGATGCTGGGTCTTTGAAAGTGTGTGTGTGTGTGTGTGTGTGTGTGTGTGTGTGTGTGTGTGTGTGTGTGTTTCAGAAAGTGCTCCAAAATACCTTACTGGATTAGCCTTATGTTACGTGAGGGAGAAATAAGATGTATTTCTTTACATAAAGAGACACTGAAAGCCCTTGAATAAGGTGCTATAGTGAAGCACATCTCCAACAATCATGGGAGGTGTCCAGGGTAGTGGTCTCTGCCTCATGAACTCAGGGACCTGGATTACTTTAGACCAATCACTTGGTCTAAGCAGGAAGTCTTAAAATATCCTTCCCTCACTCCTCCCCAAATCTCTACTGTAAAAATCTAAAATCATGAGATGCTTGGAGCAGAAAGGAGATTGTAGATGGAAAATAATTTCCAATGGTAAATGTGCAGCTGGTGATGAATTCAGGTCCTTAGCCAAAAACTAAGGACACAGGAAATCCTTGATTCCAATCACCACACACAGGTGACCAGTATATCTCAACAGGCAGGGTTTCTTCTGTGCATGCACAGACAGAAGGTCCAAGTGTCATTGGGTGATCTTGCAAAATATATGAAACAGATGTAATTCTGGGATGGAATCAAGTCTCAGTTGGGTTAGAGAACAGGAGGGAGGTGAGATGAGTTGGGTGGTGAAGAAAATCGCTGTAAAACAAGTGGGAGGTAGGACCCATGAATTATGACCTTCCTTCTTCCTCACTTTATTTCTCTGTTTGCTTGTTTTTATTGTTGTTTGTTTGTTTGTTTGGGCCCACACCTGTCTCTGATCACAGCTTACTCCTGACTCTGCTGTTAAGGGTAACTCCTAGATAGCTTGGGGTATCAAACACCAATTTGGGTTTTAGGGTATCAAACACGAATCAGTTGAATGTAAGTCAAATAGCTACTCACTGTAGTATATCTCAGTCCCTCCCCACTTTATTTCTTAAGATTTATTTATGTCCAAAACCTTTACCAACCTTATCCTAGCGGTTCTTCTTGGAAGGCATGATGGAGGCAGAGTTTTCTAAAGGTCTGTACAATCAATATAATTACAATATTTAACATTCAAAGGAAGCTAAATCTTATGGTCTAGATCAGTAGTTTTGTATTCTTACCAGTTTGTTTGATTGAGACCAGGGTGTGTGATTTGGTGAGCACCGGCTGCCCATCGTGCTCCACCTGGCAGGTGAAGGCTACATTCTCCTGCTTGGCAGAGGAGTTCACCAGGAGCCAGCTGGTTCGGTTAAAGGTCCCATCCTTGTTCTCTAGGAGGAGTGAGGCCGTTTCTGCCCGGGGCACAATTCCGTTCTCCAGCCAGGTCAGTTGAAGTTTCCGGGGATAGAACTTCCTCAACTGGCAGGTGAGGTTCACCTGGTTGCCCACTGCAGGAAACTGGGAGACCTCCAGCATGGGTGGAACTGAAAAAGCCCAGGACAGAAGCTCTGATCTTGGGGGACAGACAGGTCACAGGACCTGAGATTTAGCACGTAGACCCCAACCCACAGAAGGGATTCACCCCAATAGCCCCAGGCACACAGAGCTAGGTAGGCAATCCACACTAAGAGAGCTCTTGGCACAAAAATGAAACCAACAGCACAGTATCTGACACAGAGTAGGTGTCAGGCACAGCTTCTACTAGGGGAGAAACAAGTGGAATAAACAAAGTGTGAACATAATAATGTCACCAAAAACTGAAATAAAGAATGCAAATGGAGGTGGTTGATATTAGGTAATTAGGAATTTCAGTTGCTTTCCGTAAAATAAATGAGATATTCTTTACAGTGTTAGAATACAGGTAGGTTTGCCATGGAAAGAGGCATGTGTGACGAGCACATCTAGGATGCTGGCAATCAGGAAGCATGGATGGGAATTAGATTCCAGAACAGTAGAACAAAACTCAGGAGGCAGAAGAGGCAAGAAGACACAGAGTCTGGGATGAGGGTGTCTACCTCGGATGGTCTCAGCCAAGCTGGCTGTCCCATGGAGAGGTGGGCCCTCACGCAGAGTGATGTGGTTGAGCTCACAAATGACCTGGGAGCGCACGTCTCCCGAAGTCAGATGAACCCTGGCTGTGCTGGAGACACTCTAGGAGGTGCTCTCCCCCTGGGGGTCCACACTGGTCCGGGAGGCTGAGAGTGCATTCCCGTTTTTGAACCACCTCAGGCTGACATTTCTGGGGAAGAAGCCATGGGACCTGCAGGTGAAGCTCACGGTGTGCCGGGACGGGGCCCTCTTAGTGGGGCCGGAGATCTCTGGACGAGAAGGTTTGGCTACAAAAGGAGCGTTTGGACACAGTGAGCACAGGGCGAGTGTGGCACCAAAGACAAACACCTGTGTTCAGCACATCCTGACCTACAAGGCAGTAACCTTCCTCAATTCACAGAACTCGAGCACTTCCCAGTGGTCACTCCCCCATGCATGCTTTTGTGTGTTGAGGAGGGAGCACGGCTGACAAAGGGTGACCCTGGAACTGTTCCTGCCGCTCGCTCACTGACAGAACATCAGTCCGTTTTCCCAGCCTCATGTGTTCTGTCCCATCTCAGCAGTGTTCATCGTGCCTTCATCTCTGCCAGACTCTGAGCCCAATGCTGCAAGGGCTACAAAATGGTTCCCATTATAGACAGCACAGTTGCACAGCCACAGTCTAGGGTCTCTGCCTTTACCCATGGTCTGAATCCAGGTATTGGGAGTCCCAGGTTTCCGACTGTTCCACATGACCTGACATGTCTCCAGCTCCCTCGAATTCCGCACTCCCTAGACTCCACTTCACAGAGCCAGCACGGTGCATACTACACTTCTCAGTGAGCCTTCTGGGGTCCTTCCACCCCTCTCCCCTGGCCTTCCTCCCTCTCCTTGTCCCCAGTCTCAACACTGCAGCCATTTCTGCCTTCTTGACCTCCCTGCACAGATACCAGACCCACATGTCTTGCCTCAACTGTGAACATGAACAGATATCTTCCCTTCATCCATTCTCCCTCACTACCTCCCTTTCTCTTTCCTTCCAAAAAGAAAAAAAAAGAGGACCCTGGCCCCACATGGAGTCATAGATCAGAGGTCACAGAGATGAGGAAGCAGAGCAGAGACATGAGCACAGGCAGGATGCTCACCAGTCTCTCCCCTGGGGCTTAGTGATGATAATGATACTTCCTCAGGACTTTGTACCAGTCCCTACAACTCACAGACCTGAACAAAGCCACCACTTCACTGATGGGGAAATGGAGGATTCCAGACACTGAGATGTCCACAGCCTTGGGATCAGAGCACCACTGCTCATCTGCCAAGGACCAGCCCCGTGTAGAGGGTGTTGCCGAGGATTAAGAAATAAGACAGAAATGAGAGACAAGTGGGGTCATGTGGCTAGTACCCTTCAGACACTGAGCCCCATTTGTCCCCTGTGGATCATTTTACTGCCTTACACTAAGAAACCAGAACTGGAGGACAACATTCTTAGCATGGGGACAGGAGACTCTGATTACGAGCACAACTCCTCTTAGTGGAGCTACTCTAAACAAAGCTAGTTCTAATCTAAACTTCATGTCTTAAGCAGCTCAGGGTGAATAGCTTTCTTGTGGTCTCTTTCTATGGGTCTGTTTTCTCATACCAAGGCAATCAGGCCAGGATGGAGCACATACAGGACCATGCCTAGTGCTGTTCCACATAAGTTGGCACCAGCATTCTCAACATAAGGCCCCTGTATTCTGCCCCCTAAGGCTCTTTCCTCATCTATATAACTTAATCCTTGGTTTCCAGCACTTATCTGTTCTCTCACCAAGCTCATCGCATCTCACACCTTCCCAAAAAGATTGGTGGATTAGTTACCTTCTATGTGTAAAGAGACTGATGCACAGGAGGAAGTTCAGTCACAGAACCTTGATCTAGCCCTTGGTTTGGGTCTACTCTGTGCTTCTGGGCAATGGCATCTCGGATCCTTTCAACTATCCTAAAAGGAGTCTGTTATTATTGCCATTTTGGAGATGAGAAGAATGAGTCCTTAAAAGATTGTCTCAAGATTTCCCATCATCTCATCAGGAAGCTCTTGTCACCTCACTGAGGTATTTTCCCTGATTGAGACTTTCTAAGGCCACCTGCTCTGCTCAGAGCTTTCAGTGATTGAGTGATCTTTCTCTGAACCACTGGAGGGTTTCCTGACTACCCTCCTGAAAGTGGAAAGTCCTGGTGACTGTCATCCTATCAGACTGAACAGAGTCTGTGGTTCTTACTGCCTTTTGTCACTGCTGTTTCTCAAATAGAACCAAATGCAGTCCTAGGGCTGGCACCATGTTGGAGGGAATAGGATTCAGTGATTTTGGAGCAAAATCTCTGGTCATTACGATGACCCTTGTTTCCACTGTGCCCAGAGCAGGGTTGGGCACTCTGTGGATACTGAGGAAAGAGAAGATGCTACACATCGAGAACAGCCCTCAGAGTGTTCTCCTCAGGTGCAAACTGCAGGACTTGGTGACTTCAACATCTTTGATCTCCAAAGGTAGTTGAAGTGGACTATGAAGCAGATCCAAGGACAAACACCAGCTCATCACCTGGCCTTAGTTTTTGCTCTTAGAAGCAAGGCCAGCCTGACTGACTGTGGTCACACAAAAGGACGATGGACCCCCCTCCCCAGAACACTCACCGCTCAAGGTGACCTGGGTGCCTGGCCCAGACTTGAACTCCACATCTTCCACAAACTGCGCCTGGAACTTCACACAGTAGTAGGTGCCTGTGTCGGCTGGGCTGATGTCACGAATGTGGATGGAAAAGTCCAGGTTGTCTCTCTTGGTGGCATCCGAAGCATTGGTCACTCGGGGGTAGTAGCCTTTTTTCCCGTAGTTGTAGATCTCCTCCCGGCCACCCACTCTCTGCCGGAACCACTTGACAGGACCCATAGGATGCAAGGAGGTCACAGAGCAGCGCAGAGTGATTGTCCCTCCCACGGCCACCGACACAAACTTGTCAGGCTGGATCACCTGCAGCTCTGCATTCTGCCTGGCCACTCCTGAGGGAAACACAAGCAGCTCTTCACTCATCCTTGTTAGTCTGTAGATTTTCTCAACTCTGTGTCAGCAAACTACACCAGTGACTGAGTGTTCAGTGTGAGGAGTTAAGCACATTGTGTGAATCTTATGTTACCCCCCCCACCCCCCCACCCCCCCCCCACACACACACCAACCTCCATAGTGTGAGTGTGGTGTGATGCAAAGGAGGAATCTAGGAACTAGGAGCTTAAGGACATGGCATAGAGGGTGGTTTAGGAGCTTTACCTGGAATGTCTAAAATTAGCAACTCTCTTGTTCCTACAGTCTGACTCGGAGAGTGTTGGACTTTTTCTTTGCATTATGAGGAAGCATGAAACCAATGAGTATAAATAGAGGGACAGTGGTGCCAATGAGATATCCCTGAAATGTCAAGGCCTCAGAAAATCCATCTTTCTCTTCTCCAGATGATGCTCTTAGTGGTGTCTGTGATCAGCCAGAGTACAGAGAGAAGGTAGAAATCTACCACTCCTGGGAATATATCCCAGAGAGGCAAAAATGTATAGTCGAAGTGACATTTGCACTTGTTTGTTCTTGCAGCACTCTTTACAATAGCCAGAATCTGGAAAAAACCTGAGTGCCCAAGAACAGATGACTGGTTAAAGAAACTTTGGTACATTTACACAATGGAGTACTATGTAGCTGTTAGAAAAGATGAAGTCATGAAATTTACATACAAGTGGTACTACATGGAAAGTATCATGTTAAGTGAAATGAGTCAGAAAGAGTGGGATAGACATAGAAAGATTGCATTCATCTGGGGAACATAAAGCAACAAAAAGGGAGACTAACACCCAGGAGTGGCTGAGATTAGTACCAGGAATTTTGCTCCGTGACTTGGAGGCCAGCCACACGTGCTAGGGGAAAAGGAAGCTCAGATAGAGAAGAGAGCACCAAATAAAGGGTGTTGGGAGGATCCTCCCAGGGTGGAAGAAGCATGTTGAAAGTAGACTATAGACCAAACATGATTGCCACTCAATGCCTCTCTTGCAAAACACAGGACCCAAAAGAAGAGAGAGAGAACAAAAGGGAATGCCCTGCCACAGAGGCAGGGTGGGATGGGGGGAATGGGGGGCGGGAGGGATGTTGGGACCCGTGGTGGTGGAGGATGGGCTCTGGAGGAGGGATGGGTACTTGATCATTGTATAACTGAAACCCAAGCACAAAAATCTGTAAGTCTATAACTGTACCTCATAGTGTTTCACTAATAAAAAAAATACACATGAGATTTATAGGAAGCTGAACATAGTTTCAAGTTCCTGAGATTTATACTTTCTAATTTCTGATCAGTATATATTGGTGTGGTCATTCTGCTGTGACAATTATCAAAATCGTATTATCTTAAAGTAATAGGCTCCTTTCTCAATAGATGAATTAATGAACATAATCTAGTACATGTACAAAATGGAATATTTGCATATTCATTAATGAAATTCTGATTCAATCTGTAATACAAATGAACCTTAAAATAAATACTGTGTTAATTGAAAGAAATCAAATGTGAAAGAGAAATAGTTTCCCACATGTATAATGTACCTAAAATGGGCCAATTCATAAAGGTAAAAACACCTTAGAGCTCGGGGAGCTGAAAGATATGAGGAGTTTTTTGGGGTACACAACTTCTATTTAGCTTGTTGAAAAGTTCTAGAAATGTGTGATGATTTCACCATTGTGATTGTGCCCTATTGCCACCAAGTTTTATACTTTTAACAGGATCGTTCATTGTATGTATAATTAATATAATAACTAGTGCGTACTAGAATAAGGTCATTAGTCTTTGATTTGAACTAATGATTTAAGGAAAAAATATAACATGTGATAATGAGGCAGGTAAATTACTTATAAATAGATATTTGAACGTGAAGAGAAACCAGGAATACAAAGAATTCTGAAGCAGATATTTTTCTTATAAATAGATATTTGAATGTGGAAATAGATCAGGGATATAGAAGAGCAAGAAACGGCTGGTTTTAGATTTGTGTTTTGAAAAGAACAGAGCTGTTAATTTTGCTTGAACAAAATGAGTTATGAATTGAGGGACCATGAGTCATTTCATGACTTTTAATACCAAGTGAAAGACTTTCCAGTTGGATTGCCTCCCCAAAGATTAAGCATGTTCTGGAATCATATAGAAATGATAAGTGGTTCCTCTAATTTGAAGTGTCTCATGGTTCTGGTAGCAGATCTGCATCAGAGAATCAGCATGTTGTTGGACCACAAAAAAAATCCCATGTTGTGAAGTCTTGCTCCCCTCCTACAATACTTAGCCTTGCTTAGCATCCTCGAAACAATTTTGTAAAAGCAAAGTTTTTGCCAGTAACTTTCAGTTGAGCCAGATAACACCCATTTATGGGGCTCAGCTGTAAAAGCAGAATTACTCCTGTATGAAGTCAGCGGAGATAACCACCAAATCAATCAAGGAAAAGGTCATCAGGAAGTGGCAAAAGATGGTCAGGGAAACCATTTGAATTCTTAAAGTATAAATAGATCCTGGAGTCAAGGGGAGGGGTCACTCTCCCACTAGAGGGTTTGGCTGTGACCAGTCAGCTTTCTAAACTCCATACTTGTTTGACTTGTGCCAAATAAAATGTTACAATGCAAAGCTCATTGCTTTGTGTGGTCCTTGGGACTCCGGACCCTAACAATGTTCTTTTTCTGTTTCTTTGTGCTCAACACAATATAGAGTTGTGGTTCCTCTTTTCATATGTGAGCAGGTAGAGTGCACCCACTCAGCACTTATGTGACCGGGCTGGCTCCTAAGGACTCACAAGACACACACTTGTTACTGTGGTCAGGTCATCTGTTGGTTTGGACTTAAATCAAGAGAAGAGGATTGGGGGCTGCAGAGATAGTTCAGGCTTCTAGGTCCTTGGTTGACTATGACTCAATGCCCTGGCACTGCATATGGTTCCCTGAGCACTGCCAGGAGTGATCCCCAAGCACTGGACGTCATCATTTGTGGCCCCAAACCAAAAACTTTAAAGCATAAAAATAAGAGAAGATGACTAGACAATGGAAAGCTGTGTGACAAAAGTGAAATTTTGTGACAAAGTGGGAATAACTATAACTGAATCTTGAAGAGAAGAGTGAACTGAATAGTGGAGAGAGGGAAGAAGAGAAACTAGAGAGTTGACAGAAACCAGGTAATAGAGAAACTCTGCCCTCTGTGTATCCATAATTCTCACATTCACATTCTACACCAAACGTTACCCCCAGATTCTGGACTTTTGTACAATTCTTCCAGGCCCTGATCCTTAATTGGAAGTAAATATCAAACAGTTAACATCCCAGACCTGAATTCCTCATTTCCTCCCATGCCCTCGCTATCAACTTGATTCTTCCAGATCTCAGATCCAAGTGCTTGGGTATCTTTCTGCCACTCCAGCTCTGTGCACCAGGAAATCCTGTTGACTCCTCATCAGCACAGGTCCCAGAGCCGAACTCTTGACTTTTGTCTCTACGAACTACTGGCTAGTTGCAGTCACTTGTTTTGTGTGCATGAACTCAGTGACTTCTGAAATTCTCTAGATGTTTCTATCTCTGTTATCTAGACCATTCTCAGTTAAATGTAGAATAATTTCATACTCATCTTGGAGCAAGTGGCTTCCCTCAGCAAAACCATGCAATGCCAAACACATTTTTTAACACCGCAAAAATAAAATGAGCATGATCAGAGCAAAATCAAATCCTTGTGCAAAACAGGAAGAATTTCTTCTCATGGTCCTTGCACACTTTTCCTTGTCACTTTCTCACCAGAAATCCCTATAGTTTATACTGTACAGTCTATTAAGCTTTGCTCAAATCTGCCTTTTCCATAATATCTATCAAACTTGTTTAAAACACATCTCATACTTCTTACTCTTATACTCCCAAGTATTTTGTTCATAGTACTTTGTATCTTTTAAGTCACAAATTACTTTTTAAAAATTTATTTATTGCGTCTACCTCACAGTGATTTAATTAAAAAGTTGGAAAATTATTTATTTATTAAATCAGCATGAGATCAATGGTTACAAAGCTGTTCATGGTCACATCTCAGTCATCAATATTGCAACACCCATCCCTCCAAAAGTGCACATTTCCCACCATCAACTTCCTTCCCTAGTTTCTCTCCTGCCTCTGTGCCCCTCTTCCCAGCCTGTCTCTATGGAAGCCACTTTGCTTCTATCATCTCTCTAAATTTCTCTGTCTCTGTCTTTCTCTCACACTCTCTCTTACTCTTTCCCTCTCTATCCTTTTATGCTTTACAATCCAGATGATGAGAGGTAATTATGTTTGTTTCTTCACCTTTTTTCAGCACATAGCTCTTGCCCAGAACAAATCACTTTCTTATATATCAATTTAGTTTTCTGTTATGTCTCTTTTACTCTTATTCCCCCAATAGATAACGTTATAAGACTAACTATTTTGTCTCTATTATTGATCAGTACACCCCAATATCTTTCACAATTCCTGACACATAGTGTGTCTTGAATAAATAACTGCATGTTTACCAATGTGAACAACATGCTACTTCTTTAATCCTTGGGGTTTGATTTAGTGATAATTTCAGTGGTGACTGCAGAAGAAATTGTTTCTCAAGTAGATGACTTAGTACAAAACAAATGCTGCTTGCATATGTGCAGGAAACAGAGCACCCTAGGTGCAGAGACCCACGAGCTCTCTTCCCTACTCTTTACACCCATTGGCGGAAGACAGAGAGATAATATAGACTGAAAGTATTTGTGTAGATTGATGAATATTGAGAAGGGGTAGAGTTAAAATGTGAAATCTAGGATCAGACTGCCTGAGTTCAATTCACAGGTCTCCTTTTATCTTAAGTATCTTTAACCCTTAAATTCCTCTTACCTTTTCTAACCTGTGAGTTGGGGGGGATAAGGGTGTCTACTTCAGAGATCATCATCCAAGGAAATAACAGCTGGGGCATTTGACGAGACCCCGAGTGGCCACCCACGAACGGCTC